GGGTTTCAAAGTTGAAGCTTTCTTTTCAAAAATCAGCGAGCGTGGATAGGAGTATGGCAAAAAGAACAATTTTGGTCCCAGAATTTTCTGGATGTTTTCCAAGCCATGTGCCTAGTTCTTCACACTCCTGCACCTTAACTAGTTTCTTACAGKGGAGCAGAGGGTCTGTAAACATTCCAGCAGGGACTAGGGGCATCTTTTTACCCCTGCTTTGTATTCCCCTGAACAGCTGTAAATGGCAACACAAACTGTGAAACGGCAGGGAAGCCAAACACTTTCAGCATTCATTCCTACACTGATCTTTGGTAAATTAATTCAAAYGGTTACTGGGGATTTGGAGGGAGAAGCTAGAGAATTCACTGAGAGGATAAAGGAAGAAATTCAAAGCGAAGACCAGCTTGAGATTTGGGAGAAATGTGAAAGGGAGAAAGACAGAGAGTGAGAAGACTAATATAGAGTGTGGAGGAGATCTGAAGATCTGCCTTGGTTTAYGTTGGTCTTTACAAACGGATTAGTCTGCATGCTGCAAACAGCAACCATTTCCTCTTCTCTGCAGTGTTCAGGATGGAAGTGCTCTCCACRCTGCTCTGTGTTTGGCTAGATACGTTAGCTACAATTTCCATAAAGATTCAAGGTATCTCCTGCATTTTTTTCCACATTCTGAACAAGCTCAGAATATAGCCCTGGGTAGGAGACACTACTGAAAACAGCACTTTGAATACCTATATCTCTGGAACAGCCCCCATTTAAAAGGCTTGTTAAAAGCCTTCCCCAGTTCTATGAGGCTAATCAGCACTGCAGCCGGTGTGGTTCACTGCATTCAAAGTAGTAACCCTGTCAACTCACCTGTTGGTGCTTCACATCTGCAGGTACTTCTGCCCTACACACTTCACACCTRCAGGTAATTCTAACCCTAATACAGGTGCAAAACCAGCCAGTCACAAAGGTCAGTTCTTCACCTGCTTGTTTCAGACCAAAATCAGTGTACTCTATTAATGAGGCAATTTGAGAATTAAAAAGAAATGTTGCAGGTCTTCTTTCTAATATACCTAAAGGCGCCAGTGGGACGGAGACATTAAAAATGCCAGTGCATWGCTAGGTGAGACAGATTTGCTATAAGCTCACATTCATCGTACTTCACGTGTTACTCACAATAGCAAACAGTGAAATAACTGAAGGTTTGTGTGGGCTGGAGGAACCTTCCTGTTTACAAAGAGTGCTATTGCTCATACTAATTAGATGGTGCACAATTGGAGAGGGATGCTTTGACCCAAGCAATCTGGAGGCGCAGCTTTCAACTCTTCTCATCTGCAAAGAAGCTACCACCACCAAGCCAGCAGCACTGTGTAAAAGCAATGAACAGCTCTGACATGGAGAGAGGCGAGGTGAAGACTTCAACCATCCCAAAAGGCCATGAACTTGATGCTCATAGGAAAGCAGAAGTGGTGATAATCTCTGGAGGAATGTCCTTGAAACACATGGGACCCCTAGAACCTGGAGAATTCAGGGTGGGAAATACATTCTGCTTCTGACAAATAGCTATTTCCCACACCACCTGGGGAATGGTGCAGTTGCAACACAGCAGGCTGAAGCCTTCTTGAAAACCTGCTACTTTATTTGGAGAATGACAGTTGTTCCTATGTCTAGGTCAGAAAGACCTACTTCTCTTTTCAGAAGATCTAGTTAGTCCTGGGTTCTTCTGTCTCAGAGTTCAACATAGGCTCAAAAGAGAAGTGAGGTCTAAACCCAATGACAGGTCCTTACCTCTAGCTGCAGAGTTTTTGAGCGCTTTAAAACCACCTGCTGTGACGTGGCCAGGAGAACACACTGAGGACTCTTCCTGAGTGTCTACCTTACAGGCATCTGCAACATCTGGAGATAGTGCCCATCGTTTGGTGCAAAACTACAATATGCAACTTTATGTTTCCATCCTGTGATCTCTTCCTATAGCTATTTGAGGGCTGTCTGTGTGCTTGCGAGAACCAGTTTTTGCGTGAGAAGTGGAGTTCTTCCCATCCTTGCACCAGCACCCACCAGTTACCGCCCCATAAGCTGCTTGCTGCAGGGCATGCCCACAGCACTACCTGTGCATGCTGCTTCATTTGGACTCTGCTGCCTCACACACTGGCCACCTCAATTTGTCACTGTCACCCACAATCATTCTGCTCACTGACACCAGGCAAGCTTAATGGAAAAATGAAGTCATGGGTTTATTTAACAAGACTTAAGGTCCCCCTTCTTGTTATAAGTTTGGAAACAAAAGTTGGAAGTCAAACAAATATAAAATTCAATCTTAGTCTATTCATAASAACTGTGGTCCTGTCTGGTTGCTTAACCTTTAATGTTTTGGAGTCCTAAGCCAAACTGCAGCCAGCAGGGCTGATGCTTCACATCCACTGCAAAACCTTGCATGTGTGGATCTAAGCAAATTTGCAACACTAGTAAGCAGTGTTTTGCCTGGATCCTTCTACTACTGGGTCCATTTTTTCCCCCCAGCTTTCTCTCTTTCTAATTTTTTTTCCCAAAGTGAAGGTACAGATGGTAAGTCCTCGTTCTTTCTGTTACCCTCCAAATTTATTCTAGTTTTACATTGTTTATCCCTGTCTTGTTGTCCAATACGCACTTTCCTCCTAACCTAGAAGTTTTGATGTTTACTCATAATATCTTGTGTACTACAGTAACCTAAGGACTAGTTGAGCAACTGATTTGGTTATGACGGAGCACTGCAATACTCTGCACATCAAATCATGTAACAAGCATTATTAGTGGATAGCTTTTTAGTGGATCATGATATTTGATAAGTGATTAGCTTTCTATCTTATATGATATATAAGGACATGTTAATAACGGACACAACTGAGCCAGGAACAAGCTCTTTTGGGCAAGTTACAAGTCTTCTCTTCCCAGCTTTGGCAAGGGCTCCTGTGTGATGTCCAACTGGCTTCCCCAAAGCAGAAGTGATCAATAACCTCTGCAGCCACCTGCGGAATGCAGAAGGCTCTGAGGGCTGTACAGGAAGTTAAACCTCCTCTCCTCTATCTGGGTTTGTGAATATTTCCCCTTAGATGTTCCTGCTGCCCTTGCTCTATCCTGCAAGCAAACAGAGGCTGAATTGACCTTTAACACAATGTCTTGATCTTTCCAGCCATTTCTTTGCCTTGGCTATCTCCTATCCCAGTCTTCTGTGAGGACCAAGCAGATTCCTTCCAGGATGCTCTCGCTGTGCTGTGCAGCCGTTTGCACTACCACCCGACTCAGACCTGTGCTCATGGCCTTGCATTCTGTGGTGCCTCCACTGATYTTATAGTGAGTCATGAAAGCATCCATCAGCTACTGACAGGCACCAGAAGATAACACTGAAATCATCTATTTCCCTCGCAAACCTTCCCACTTGTTGTTTTCCATCCTTGACAKTGCCTAATATGACAATTAATTCTGGCTTCCTATATCCAGCTGGTCTCTTTGGCTGTTGCCAGCAAGAAATTTCTCCTGCAKCTTCATTTGGACTTTTCCTGCCCTCACTTAGGCCTGGCTGGAGGCAAGAGGGTGGCAGGACATCCTCAGAAGAAGGTTTATCTCCTACTAAGGCTTACGGTAGATGTGCTCTCTGATAAGCCTGTTCCTATCCACTGACCGTAAACCCTTATTTCTTGTGTTGTTATCATGAGACAGAGCCACAGAACCCCTCATGGGCCAGTTTCAAGCCCTAGAGATGCAAAAAGACCTTCCTCTTCTACCTAATTCAACTCTCATATCATCCTCCAGACCAGAATATGCCCAGGTATAATTCTCTGACATATAAAATCAGGGGCTCACTGTCCTCTTAAAGATGAAAAATGGAACACAATAAAAAAAAACCCTTCAACTTTTCAGGGATTTTTTTTCCATTCCCAGAAGCAAAAGAACATTCTGGTCACACRATCCTGACTCCATAGGGTTATACACAGCGCACTAAACCCCTTCCAATAGCCACCTCAACTAGACAATGAAAATCAGACTGTCACTTCCCTCGGTCACAGGCCCTTTCCACAAAGAACAGAGCACATCCAGTCCCGCGGGTTGTAAAGCAGTCGGAGCTCCCATTAGTTTCCTTCAGAAGGTTCCCTAGAAGGGACCATTAGCCAAGTCTGCTCTGACCTCCGGGTAACAAAGGCCAGGAAACGCCACCCAGGAACTTCGGCGAAGCTGAACAGTTTGTGACTGAATGAGGGCACATCTTTCAGACACACATGCAGTTGTGACTGAAAGACWGCAAGCCATGGGAAATCCACCACATCCCACTTAACGAAGATGGTCAGCACCATCAAGATACTGTTTTTATAATTATCTACATATAAAACAGTGAATATATCGGAATAACGTCGTTATCGAAGAGGCTGCCCTCCTTAGGGAGCTAGGGAAATCAAGGCAAGGAGCAGTCAAATGAAGAAAAYGTGGGTGTCCAGTTCCCGGATGAATACTCCCAAAAGGATCCTGGTTGAGTTTCCTTGAGCTCTTAGGATACCATCCAGATCATCCTCCATTCATTCCTCTTGGCACCTCTCTATAATTTACCTGAATTCTATAAATTACCTGAAGGTATATATATAATTTATATTTATATAAATATAAAATAGATATAATTTACCTTGAATTTACCTCAGTTAAGAGAATTTCTTCCTTCTCAGCTGCTCGGTACAGAGACTACAGTTTTGCTTTATGGCATGTGTGCTTGGTTGGAAATACATCATATTCTGAGCTTGGTACAAGCATTTTGGTACAAGCTGATATATCTCATTGATTCTGAATTTTTCAATGCCTACAGAGAACAGCCACTCTGTCCAGCAAAAACTTTTAAAGAATCCTCACCACAGACACCTGCATCACTCTGCTCAATTTGGTCACCTTTTAAAGCCATATATTATCCTAATTTGAGGTCTCAAAATCCACTAGGGTGATATTCTACTGACTTCTAGCAAGCAATAGCCCATGAAGAAACAGAACAGGAATGCAGCACTTACCTGGGTTGCTTTTGGAGGTGCGCACAGGGGTGTAATGGTTTTTGGAAGATGTCCTGACTGGGGTGTTTTCTTTGGGGGAGGTATCTATGGCCGAGATAGTCTCTCTTTCACAGTGTGCTATTGGGATTGGTCCCTGCTGCCTTAAGATGTCAGCCAGAGCCCTGGAGAGAGAGAGGAACGAAGGAAAAGGCACATTTACACAAAGCAGCCAGCACGACAGTCAGCATTTTCACTTCTACAGCCCTTTTATAAATCTATCAGTGCCRTAAACACAAAAAAAGCAACAATAACAACAACAACTATGGCTTAAAAGCTCAATTTCTGTGTGTGTCTGCTGCACAGGCATGTTTCACTGCCCTATACTGCCCAAATCGAGTTGGTTGGGTAACACTGAATGTGGTGAGAAGGGTAGTCCAGTCCCTACACCCGTGCATCCCAACTATTTGTGCAAGGAGTTCAAAAACCAGTGGTGGGAGTGGGTTTCTCAAAGGAGAACCAGTAATCCATGAGAAAATGACTAAACCAATTGTCATGGCTTAATGCTATCACAGTCTATCTTTAGCTTTTTGTCCATTAGAGACTTATTYAACGGCACTGAGGCCTCACTACCATTGCCCAAGAAAAAGAAATGTCACAGTATTCACTTGGAGCCAGTGTTTTCCCCTTGGATGAGTGGAGCCTCAAAGGTTTTTTTCCTCTGCGAATATCCTGAACACAGTGGAGCAATTATAGCGTGAAACASACTGAAGTTTACAGTGCAGCCACAAGCTATATCTTAAGCCATAGGAACAGAGCAAGAGAGTGAGCTGTGTGGATTATAAGGAACAGAGGCATTTTAAGGATGATTCAGTTTGAAAGGTTATTTTCTCTTGGTAGAGGGAATACACCTAATGTCACCTCAGGTACTAAGAAAGATGTAAGGAGGAGAAATTCCTTCATTACATATTGATGAGAAAGATTCTGATATTGCTCATATCTACTAGCATTCTTTAAATACCATATTTTTGGTCTTTTATGTGAGAAATAGTTTGGGGCTRGAGTGTCTTCTGTTTTCTAAATCATTTCCTCTGCAGACTGCTGTTCTTGTGCATAATGAATTGCAACACTAATGTGCTCTACAAAAGAAACTCTTTTAAGATCTCAGAGGCTCCAGTAGAGAATTACATTAGTTCTCAACTGCCCTGTACAGAATAAAAATGCTCTAAACACTATTGGATTATTTATTATTTGTAGAGAGAGCAGCCATAGAGGCTATAACCCGTTATATGATGTGTGTAAGTGCACGCATACTAACAGATGGAGCAAGAGATTGTCACATTCAGAGACACGACAGCACAAATTTTTCTTGTGCTAAACGATGTGCAGAGCAAGGTGAAGGTGGCAGTAATAGCAGACAGGTACTTAATGCCGGGGTTCCTTCTATTYGCTCCTATTATTACTCACTGAAAGAGTGGATATAGTATTTTCTATTCCCCAAAATGAATGAACTTCCACTGCTTCATATGTAACTTTAGGTGCTCCCCATCTTTTACAATCACACCTGAGGTATCACAAACTGGTCACCATATTTYAGGATATTAGGGATTTCCTGCCCTTGACCAGGTTTATACGGAAAGTGAGTGGTGGGACAAGAAACAGAAGTCAGGGACTGAGGTCCCTGCCCTGTACAACTGTGCAGCTCCTTCAGGATTCATTCAGCACCATCAATCTTGAAGACTTCTCTAGGCAAATACCTCCCCACTGCATTACAGATCCTGCCGGTTGCAAAGAATATTGGAGTTAAACCAGGTCTATCTATTTGGCACCAACATGCAGTACATCCCATTGGAGACAACACATTTTCTAAAGACAGCAGGTTGGCAGAAGTGAGCCTTTAGTACATGTCTTCAAGATATATTAAGCATCTGATGACCATCTAATGATATCTGCAGTACAGACCCACTAAGAGTCATTTTTCAATCACAGAGATTGTATTAGGATTATTATTTACTAGTCCTTGGTGGCTTGGGATCATTCTGAACACTTGTAGAAGACAATTGTAGTGTCAAGAGTGCAATTACTCAAATTACAGGGGGAGAAGACTGTGTGGATAACACTAAACCACCATTTACCACTTAGCTTAATATAGTAGAGCTAGCTGGACAGGAAAGGTCAGGACAGGGGTTGGTATATGTTCAGAAGGGGCTGTGTAGGATAAGGTGCATAGGGACAGTGCAAGAAGAAATAAAAAATAAAAAATAAAAAATAAAAAATAAAAAATAAAAAATAAAAAATAAAAAATAAAAAATAAAAAATAAAAAAAAGTATCTGTATTGGGAGGTACTGGGGGAATGGTGATGAGACTAACTGCTCCAGGAGCTGAATTTTTTAGGGCCTGAAGAAGAGGAGGCTAAAAGAAGATCTGTTTGTATTCTCTCACTAAATAATGTGGAGCTACAAAGAAAACAGAGACAGTCTGTTCTTGGAGATGCACAACAAAAGGATATAAGGAAATTGTAACAAGTGCAACAGGGGAATTCCACTGGGCTATAAAGGAAAAAATAAAAGAAAATAAAAGAAAATAAAAACAATAAAAAGAAAATAAGTAACAGTGGGAGTGGCAAACAGGGACTCAACAAGGTTGATGGATTTTCATCATTACCTCCATTATCCATCATAAATGGACAAGACCCTGAATGGCCTCATCAAGCACTAGAGAACCCAGAAGAACCCAGAGATTCCTTCCACCCTAAGTTCTGCTATGATTCTCAGCCACCACATGTTCTAGGTCATCTTGTTTCTCCTGATACTTTCATCTGTTCTCTATTGCTATTTCTCTCTGAATGACCTTTAATATAGTCTATGACTATGACTTCCTTACTTCCTGGATGGACAACTTGTCTCTACTTGCTAAAAACAACTAAGGTAATTAAAAGTGAGTGTGCTCTGAAGGTACCAGAACCAGTGAGAAATGTCTCATCCTTTCTGCCATTTTCCACCCGAGCCAAACCCCTGGGGCTTGTTSCCTATTGTGAACACTAAAACATGTGTTTAGAACATACTACAATCTGTGAACAATTTCTGATAAACCAATGCTTTGTTGATCCTTTGTTAGAGCCAGGATCTGAATTCACTAGACCTTGTGACCATCACAAGTAAGATCTAAGCTAAGAAAGAAAAAACTTTCTAATGTAACCCCTTACTTATTTCTCATCCTGAAAGAACAGTAACCAGAGCTACTCCTGGGGTAGCTGTTGGTCACAATACAACATGGAGATAATTTCTAGTCAGGTGAGAGACGCATGGAAGGGAGAAGACTGTTACTCTCGTAAGAACTGACCAAATCACAAGCAATGCTCAAGAAAGTCATAGTCTTTCATTCTCCTGCTGTATTAGCCTCTACAGCAGATAAACTGAACAAAACTGCCTAAGGCTGATGTAAATCATGAGAGTAGGCATCTAAAATGATATGGGTTGAACAACGCTGAGGGGTGATCTTTCTATGTCCTAAATGTACCAAACTGTCTGCCCTGAATGTTCACTTCAAGAATGCTACTGCAGGTGGAAGAGAAAGTCAGACTTGGAGCCCGCTGGTTCATGGCTTGTTAATTCACAYTGCTCTGTGTGATCAAGTTTATTTCCATAAAACACAGTGGGCTGGAACCWGCGATGATGGACTGTCCATCACTTTCAACTGAGGAAGGACCTGGTCTAAGTCATTTGGGCACAGCTGTTTAACTGTCCACCGAAAGTTTCAAGTAGAGTGACGGAGATATCATAAATATTTTGGTCCAGTGTGTGCAGCTATTTGGGTACAACTGTCACTAGTGTCACTGACAACTGCTGTCACTGATGTCAACAGCATCCTGTTCACCTACACAAGGGCCATGGCGCAAGGCTATGGGACACTCAAAAGTCTTCCTGTGCCAAACATCCCTTATCTTGGAAAAACAAACCTCATTCAGTGGAACAAGTTACCTGTGCCAGAGGATAGAGAAGCCAGAGATGAGTAACTGTGCAATCATATCCTGAGATAATGATTTATGACAGCTTTTTCATTAATGTCATTTAAGTGAGAACAGTAAAGCTCCTTTCCACATAAATCCAAGATAGATGTATTTACATCAGGAGTGTTATTCCAGACTAATGCTGGACCAGCAGCGTAGGAGCAGACTCCTGATGTCTGGGCAGCAGGACATCTCAAAGCGCAGTAGGTTAGGTCCTGTTCTCAGGTACATCAGCATGGAAGGCTCCCAGGTAACTCTAGATTAGGGGTGGCTTAAGTGAGTTTTGGGGAAAGAAATATAGTAGTATGAGCACAAGGATCAGAGTTTTGTTGCGAAGTAACAGCTGTGAGCTCTTCAAAAATGAAAAATGAAGGCTTGTTGGAAATAAAAAGGGCCAAGAGGGTTGGGTATGGGCAAGAGGGTAGCAAGACTGGGTGTTGGCTAGRACTTGAAGCTGAAAGCACAAGCAATAGGCTTTGCTAAGAAGAAAAGAGGTTTAAGGTAAGGTAAGGCAAGAGATGCACAATGGCAGGGGTGATGGAAGACAAAAATAGGACACAACAAGTGGAACAGTCTACAATCAAGGAAACAGAAACGTATGGTAGAGAAAAGGCAAAATGGGAAATCTTGCAGATACGTGGAGAGTATCCCTATTTCAGAGCCTCAGAACAGAGAGGTGGAAGGTGACACAAAAGCTCCATTATGCAATAGGGCTGTAAAATCAGTAATGATTTTGCAAGCCCTCATCATCATGGGGATTTTAACCATCCTGATATCTTCTGTAAGTGCAACACAACACAGCACAGGCCATCACAAAGATTCCGTGAGTCTATTGATGTAATTTCCTGACACTGGTGACCTAGAAGCCAAGAAGGGGAAGTGCTCTGATGGACCTCACACSCCAAAACAATGAGAAATTTGTTAGAGATGTGAAACCCTGTGACAGACTTGGTTGCCATCAAGTGCTGGAGTTCAGGATCCTGAAAGGAAGGAACAAGGCTATGCACAGGATCGCAACCTACACTTTAGGAGAGTGGAAGTCTTGCCAAAGACTGGGATGTGGCCTGGGAAATGTCAGCTGTGGATAGATCTTTGGTGGCTGGATGGAAAAAAAAATGCCTATTTCCAATAGTGTGGGTTCTACACACACAAAACTTCATTCCGATGCCTTCTGA